GGGCGGGTCAGGAGAGGTCTGCCACGCCATGTGGTCACCTCCGGGACAGGCGGGAATCAAACTCATTGCGGAGGTGGCTTTAGATTCTCAGTGCTGTGCTTTAACCAGCTGCGCCACCAGGGAGGGCCCCATGATTCCTTTTTAAAGCTTCTAGTTGACTTACCTCCCACTCGGCTGCCTTCTCTGGTTTTAATCGAATTTCATACTGGAGTGTGAGCCAACCAGATCTTACATCAACCAGGGTGGGTGGAAGCCATTTCATCCACAGATACGGTTTTCTGTCTTCTGGCTGTTTTACTTCCAAGGTCAGGTTCACCGGCGGGTCTGGTTCAACTATAGAGATGAAAGACACTGGAGTAGCATTCATTGTTTGTGCCCTTTATTTGGTCCCACCCTTTTCTATCATGAATGGTATTTTCTATCTATCATTGCCCTCTTCCCAACTCCATTGTAAACCCCTGGAAGATAAGCATGTCTGCATTATTAGTATGTGCTTAATCATGTTTGTGCTGAAGATGACATTAGGGGATTAAGAATAATAAGTGGTTGAGATTTCATTCTGTGCATGTCCGCCCCTACTTTGTGATAGCCACCCAAGCCATTTCCATGCTAACAGAAATCAGGTGATACAAACTGAATTAAGGTTTGCAAGTGGGAGTCAGAGAGAAAGATTACAGGGTAGGGATTCCATTGCCCTCATCAGGGAACAAGTTTCTCCTCAGAGTCAAGCACAGGTAGCTTTTGTGCATGATCATATTTAATTGTGAGGTAACTATGGCGACAGACACGAGGAGAGAAGTCCTATACTGTGGAAAAATAAACAAGATGTTTAAATTAAAAAAAAAAGTTATAAAACTCTGTCATGAAAGAAGTCTCAAATAGGTAAGTGCTTTGAGATAAAAAAAATACATTTATTTCTGTGATAGATATTATGCTCAAATGTATTACTCTCTAATATGCATGAAATACTCTCTCCCAGATATTAAAATACTAAAATATGCCTAGAAATTGGACTTTTTGGTAATAATGATTCAGGGGCCTTCTCAGCCTTTGACTTACTGATTTATTCAATATATGCTTACCAAATTCTAGCAAAACTGGCAAAATGGTACTTAACATTTCTTTGTGTCAGCCCTGTGTAAAATACTTTCCCTGTTTTGCTTGATTTAATCCTCCCAACATTTCCATGTAGACTTAGAGAGAAAATTACTTGACCATGATCACAAATTTAGTGAAAGTGGTATTTGAATACAGAACAGTAAGACCTGGAGGCATTTTACTCCATCATAGTTAAGAGACAATTTGATACCAGGCGCTGGTCAGTAGGGTGGGATTAGTTTGAGACAAACAAGAGGCCATAGAGCAAGCTCTAGGGAAGTACAAATGGCCAGAACTCCCATGAAAGATGCTCACTCTCATTTATCGCTGGGAATAATAAGTCAAACTACCACAACATACCAATTTACATTCACGAGGATGGTAAGAATTAAAAAGCGGAGAGGTAACAGGTGTCTGCAGGAATATGGAGAAATTGGAGCCCTCCTATATTGCTAGTGGGAATTAAAGTTGTATAGTCACTATGGAAAAAAGTCTGAAAGTTACTCAAAATGTTAAATACAGAATTACCATTTCACCCATGAATTCTACTCCTATGTATGTACCCAAAAGAACTGAGAGCAGGCGTTCAAACAGGAGCACTTACCTAACGTTCATAGCAGCACTATTCATAATAGCCAATAGTTGGAAATCAAATATCCATTAGTCCATCTAATGGAACATTACTGAGCCATAAAATGGAAGGAAATGCTTACACATGCTATAGCATGGATGAATCTTGAGAACATGATGTTGAATGGAAGAAACTAGACACAAAGTGTTTCTACACATATGATTCTGACATGAAATATCTAGAACAGGTATGTCTATAGAGGCAGAAGTGGGTTAGTAGTTGCACTAGGGTGAGGGCTGGATAAGAAGTTGGCATTTCGAACGATGCAAGCATTTAGAACAAGACCGTGGAGAGAGCTGCACAACACTGCTCAAGAACCAAAGACTGGAGTCACATGCTTTTAAATGGTTAAAATGGTCAATTTTATGTTATGGGCATTTTTACACAATCAAAAAAGTATTAAGGAGGATCTTACTCTCAGTTTCCTTCAAATACAGGCTTGTGAGTGCCCCTGAGAGTTTGGTCTGGTATAACCTACAGTTCCCTAACAAATGAACTTTAGAAAATTTTGTTACTAGTCCTAATGCTTAGATGTGATTGTTTCATATGTACCTACCTACATAACAAAAAGCAATTAATACACATTTTATGTTTAACACATACTGAGAAATGCCTCTATTAAAAAAATATTTGCACAAAAGTGCAAGTGAGTTATAAACTTAAAAGGAGCCCAGTTCAAACCAACACTTGCAGTTCCACCCATGACTAGGCATCCAACTTGCCTGCCCCTCCCCACAGAGCCTGGTTGGCTTTTCTTTTCCTTTTTGATTTTTTGGTCTCTCCCTGTGCTTTAAATTTCCACTTTTATGGTTCAAATTCACTAATATGTACCACATCTTCTTAATTCACTCATCCATCGGCCACTTAGGTTGTTTCCATGACTTGTCTATTGTTAATAGTGTTTTTACACCATGGAATACTATTCAGCTATAAAAACAGATGATTATGCTAAGTGAAATCAGTCAGGAGGAAGGCAAATAGGCAATTGTTTCACTTATATGTGGGATGCAGAGGAACAAAATCAAGAAATAGATGAAATTAAACCCAAAAAAACCCTAGAAATTTGACCACAAAAACAGGCTGTCAAAGGGAGAGGCTGAGGAGTGGGGAGTTCAAGAGAGAGGGGCCTCAGGACAATGGGATGATTACAGGTGCTCTGGTGGTGATTACAGATACATGTTGTATGTAACAACATACATCTGAAAAGGTGTGAAGTGATACCGCTAAATCACATACAGTGTTGTGTCAACCAATGTCAACTCAGTAAAAAGTACAATAGGGCCCTCCCTGGTGGTGCAGTGGGTTAAACTCAGCACTAAAGCTAAAGCCATTTCAGCATGAGTTCAATCCCCACCCTGGAGGTGACACACATGGCGTGGCAGACCTCTCCTGATCCGCCCGCTGCTCCCCTTAGCAGTGTACTTCCTCAGTCGGCCTGTTCTGCTCCCCACTCTGTCTCTGGTGAAGCCTTTCACTGCCCCTGGGCCTGAGGCCTGTACCCCAATTCTGTATGCATAAACAAATCTTTGAAAAACAAAATCACTTCCCATGGGAGGCAAAATAGCCCCAGATGAGAATCACTGCTTTCAAGGGTCTCCAAAGTACCTGATTATTAACAACAACACAATCTACTTCTGAGTGACCTGTTGTGGGATTTTCCTTTACCCCCAGATTATCCCTGAGTTAGAGCCAAGCTGGGAGAAAATTACTGCAGTTAGAAAACCAATTTTTAATGAATTTCTTTGGCTCTCACCAATACCATATGCTGTGGGGTTGCATAAGAACTCCAAAACACTGTTTTGAAAAATTCTTTCGTAAAGTATGGTACAACACACATTCTTTCCTCAGAGAATCTGTTTTCCTGAATCAATGTGAATTTGTTACGCTTGTGGATTTCACTTTTTAAATGCATCCTTTTCTTTGGAGGTCCCTTTTCCATTTTTGGTAAATAGTGTTCATTACTGCACTGGTTCTTTCCAGAACCTCTCTTGCTTTCACTGTTTTGCCTTCAAATATTAAATGTCTAACATACACAGGCAAGGGAACTCAAGAAAGAACCGATGGAAATAAAATTATTAGACATTTCACATAGACTTTCATATTTCAAATCACACATATAATTGATTGCAAATTGTTTTATTCTAATTAGCCAGCTACCTTTCTGGTTTTCTTAAGCGAAGATCAAATTTAATCTCCACCCCCAAGCTCATTCCAATGACTTGTTGGGGGAGAAAATATTCAAGTATGTACTGGTTGGTGTTGGAAGCTTTTCTAGTTTTATAGGATCAACCTCTGATAACATGCCAGCGGAAGTTATGCAAGTGAATACTTGGGAGTCCTAGCCTGGATTTTTTTGGAGGTAATGGTAGATAAATCAGGAAGACTTGGGTGACCTTGAGCCTAATTAGTCATTCTGTGGGTTATTACTCTAGATGAGGCTGAACCCAGTCCTGGCCAATTCTCTTTGTCTTCCCTATTACATATATAGGGAAGTGGAGAGCAGAACAGGCAGACTGACTGAAATACATTGCTGCGGGAGCAGTGGGAGAGACAGGAGAGGTCTGCTGCGCCATGTGGGTCAGATCCCAGCTTCTGCCTCCCTGGTCAGGCATGAAGTGATGTTGCTGACGCAACCTGTAGGCAATAGGGAGGTGCCCTTCCCTATTATATCATTAAGGTCACTGCAGCTGGGTCTCATTACTCTGCAGCTCAATGTTGACCATGCAGAGCCAGGAGCAGTTTTCTGGTTGACTTTGTTTTACTTTGCTGATGACTTCTCCAAACATTGTACTTGTGATCTTGGCCTTGCTATTCAAGCAACAATTATTTACTCCCTAAATTCTTTATTTAAAAAAAAAATAACTCCAGTTGCTAAGAAGCATGTATATACTGAGAATTGAACTTGGGGCAAAACAGTTGGAACAATTTCTGTGGTTATGGAGCCAGATGAACTTCTGAGACTGCTGTCTTTCATGGGGACAGAGAAAGGAAGTCCCAGCTTGTCAAGGGAGAGGGAGACAGTGGTGTGTAGGAGGAGGACTGGCAGGAAGGTGTGATAAGGGAAGTGTGAGTAGAATATTCCTGTTGGGTACAAGGGGATGGGAAGAAGGATCAGGTGAAAACACGAAAAACAAGGCCCCTAGATGCCAGTCTTATTGTCTCAAAAGACTACATCAATTGACTTAAAATGCACAGCTGACAAGGATACTGAATTCAGGAAGACTCAAGCATGTCTGTATGGGCAGGTCCACAATGGAGTGACACATTCCTCAGTGCTGTCCTTCACTCACCTATGTATGTCACGTCTACGTAGTGGGGATCTGAGGCACTGCTTCCCATCTGGTTTGTGGCATTTACTGTGATGATGTATAATGTCCATATGGAGGTGTGCTTCTTGTCAAAGTAACAGGAGTTGGGACCACTGAATTTGTAGTCTGGACATTCATGGGTGAGTACATCTCTGTAATGAATATATTAGGAGTGAAGAAGAAAATAGAGAGAAGAGGTCAGTTGTTTTCTAGATAAAACCACATCAGTGGATTTGGGGGTGGGGGTCAGGCATCGCACATGTGGAAACTAAAGTTGAAGAAGAGCACCCCAAGCTTCTATGCCTTGCCCATTTCAGCCTGAGGAGGAGACAGGGCAGAACGTGCAGGGGGGCGGGGGGATTCCAAGGCTTACTTTAGGGCTTCTATAACGGGCTTCTCATCGACCCTCCCCTTGAATAGCCTCATGTAGGCCTCCTGATATGCACGCCTTGTCATTGAGCTTTCAATGCCTACCAGGTGGTGTGCAGGAAATGGGACTTTCCATTGCACACATAGCAGGGGCCACACACGGTGCATATTGCAAATGTGTGTTGAATTTACATTTCATTAAAAAAAAAAGGACTCAAGAGGATGAAATCTGGTGTCAGCATATTGCAGATTGCCCTGAGTCAGCGATGGAGTGAAGTGGCCGTGGGAGGAGCTATTTCAGGCTGCGGTCACTCATCAGGCTGCTCCCATTTAGGGGTTCTGAGCACAAGTCACACTGCCCAGTTTATTTGATTTCGGTTGCCAGTTTGAGTGAAATCTGTTTACATGATATACCTCTGGGTCCCAGAAGGGATGACAGCTTTGTGTACTAAAAGAAAGTGCACCAGTGGGAAGTGGGCCAGCTGTTGCTACCAGTAAATGTTTTCTTCCCTCGGTAAGGATATGGCTCTCCCGGGATTTCCAGGGGGGTCTCATTGTGAGTGTACGAAAATCTCACTCAGGGACAACCTCACTTAGTCCTCGTGCACGTCACATGTTCCCCGGGAGATCAGGGAACTTGAACCGTCCATTTGCTAAAGACGAATCGTCACCTTCCTCTCCTCATAGGCCTCTTTAGTTTTGTGGACATGAAAGAAGTTTGAAAAGCTAAGGAGCCGAGGTTGTCCAGGATCACACGATAACCCTCTGAGGCTGCAAAAGTAATGCTCGTGAAAATAAATAATAAGTGGCATGTTTCATCAATGAGCCTCTCTAGCTAACAAGCCTTAGGAAACACTTAGATGTGATTGTAGGTTGCAGCCTAAACTCTGACAAGGCCCAGGGCCACTGCTTTTTGTAACCTGGTGACAGAGGAGCTCAGGTGTGCTGAGGCGTCTCCTCCAGGACACTTGCAGGCCACACAGATGCGGACTTTCCCCTATAGCACAAGCTGGTGTCAACTTAGGGAGCTTCAATCACTCTAACTGAGCACCAGTGTTTCTCAGAGCGCTCTCGCTCTCACGTGGGGCTTGCTAGGACACTTTACCCTTCCTTGTGATAAGTCAGTGTGTAATTGGTAGGAAGTCCTCCGTCTGCCCCCGGCTTCCACCAGCAGGTGAAGGTCTCCTTTTCAGGAGAACGGCATTTAGAGATTTCAGGTTTTCCAGGAGGTGACTGTCCTAGAAAAAGCCAGAAAGGGCTGGATTCAATATTAAGGTACACTGAACCATGCGACGACCGCTGGTGGCAGAAGCAGACTGATGGGACCAGGTTAGTGATGGGGATGGGTGAGTTGGCAGAAAGGCCAGCGTGTCAGCATCCAGTGATCCTGCCCTGTGTTGGCAGGACCTTAGAGAGCGTCTTGCAGTGTGTGGCGGTGAGGGTGGCGGTTGGCGTGTGTGCTGTGAGGGGACATGCCAGCACCTACCACCAGTGATTGTGAAACTCCAGCAGACAGTGACTGTCAGGAGAGAGAGATGCGTATGTCTGGATTGGCGTCGCCATCCCATAGAGTCACTCCCCAGGCCAGCGAGAGAGGCCTCCCAGTTCTCCTCTGCTCCCCAAGCTCCATCTTTCTCCCACTCCCACACGAGTCACTCTACTTTTGAGCTTCTGCTCTCTTCCTGGATCACTAACCCGCCCTTCACTTGGGCTGTCCCTCTGGGTCTTTCCCATCTCGCCTTCTCTTCTCTTCCCTCTTCACTTTGCCTAGAGCCCATTCACCTTTGACCTATGACCCATCTCACTCCAGAGTCTCTCTCTCCACCCTTACCTGGCCCCCATTCTGAATCTTGGTTCGTAGGCCCCTTTTCTTTCCACCTCTTTCCTTAGGTGTGTTTGGGTGGTGGAAGGGGACTTTTTTGGAACTCCTTGACTCTTTTTGGGGGGAATGGAAGTGGGAGCTCCTCTACTATTAGGAAATATCATTCTTTTCTAAGAGCTGCATCTGGCCCCAGCTGGAAGCCAGGTGGTATAAAGAGGAGATGACAAGAGGGTGGAGTTTTTAGTTACTGAACCCCCAAAGCTCTAAACAGGTGTGTCATTTCCTCTCTTCCTTACCTGTCAGGTTCAAGGGCAGAAAGAGTGACCCTGGTGACCCTGACAGTTTACCCTGATGCTACTGAACTGGGGGGCCTCACCCTGCCCACATATCCACCTCAGGTGACCTCCCCTTAAGGCTGCAGTAGATGCCCCAGTGTTTCGTCTGGGAAACCTGGAACAGAGATGAGAATGCTTAGGGGTTGGTCTCAGCAGGTTTTGGGGGTGTCTATTTTCTTACAGCTTCATCCTACCATCCCTCATGCTGGCTGCTGGGCCAGAACTAGCTGAGCAGCAGCTCAGAAAGAGCAAGTGTGGAGGAGAATATGGATGGGAAGAGGCAGCATGAAACAGTGCAGAAGGAAGAGTTTCCCAGTGTGACAGGCACAAGCTGAGAGTAGCAGCTGGACTTAAACACACGCCAGCTGCCAGCCCCCCAAGTTGACACGGGCCAGCCAGCCTGGTGACAGCTGTGCCAATAGCTGTCTCACGGCTTCTCCTCCAGAGAGAATTTCTTCAGGAGACTCAAAAGTTGAAGTGAAATTTGTTGATTTTTTGTTGTTGTTGTGATTGGGTAGAGCTTTTTTTGTTGTTTTTTTAAAGTCCCTTAAACCCTGTGGCTTAATAATGAGAATCTGGGAAGCCCACGAGGGCAGCTGCTGATTATGTGTGCTTAAAGCACTTAAAGTTTTCCTGTGGTTCAGGAGGAAGCTGCTTTCCCTCATCCTTTTCTCTGAAAGTTTCTCTCTTACATTTCACTCATTCTTCAGTACCTCTAGGGCACTCAAGAGCGAAGGTAAAGTTGTGAAATTACAATTAATCAAATGTTCCTGTTACCCACTTCAGGGGCAATGGCTAAATTAATGGCCTGTCTCACCCTTCCCCAGAAATTGTACACGGATGCAGGGCCACCGCATAGACACAGTACACAGGTACACACACACACACACACACACATACTTCTGAAACAGCCACAGGTACATACTTACAGGCGCACCTACTGTCTCGCACAGACACACACAGTGTGCATAGAGAGATACTTAACACTGGTACCTAGCGAACATTTGCAACCAGGCACCTAAGGAGAAGTTAAAGTACACACAAGTATCTACAAACATACACACATTCAGGACTCCACAGGGTGGACACACAGAGCTCAGCTGTGAGTGTCATTTCCCCTGGAGGCACACGTACTGGGCTCCGCACCACTTACACAGCAATCCCTTCTGTCTCTCGTTTTCATACTCATTGTTTCACGTGACTTGAAGGAAACAGTACTCTCTTTGAAAACATGCAAATCCAGAGAGACTGGTTCATTGGCTCAAGGTCCCACACTAACTAATCACTGCCATAATGTGGACTAGAACTGTCTGGTCTTGTCATTGGTAGATCTGTTTTACTGCACTCCCAGAATGGGCACAGAATTGAGAACACTGGGATGAGAGTTTGCATTCATTAAATTAAAACTTTTTCATTAATTTGAAGGCCCCAACGATTGCAACTAATAGCAACAAGTGACATGGATCATTTTCTTTGCTCCTATCTGCATCACAAGAGGACGGTGATGGCCTCACCACCCGTGAACACCTCAGGGAATGAAAGAGCACAGCACAGCCTCTTACTTACCATTCAGAAGATTAGTGTGCAGGAAAAGTAGCAAAATGAAAATAAGTGTGGAGGCCAGGCTGCTCTTCATATTGGCTCTCTCCTCTGTCTGCAGGAAATGATCAGAAGTTCACTGAAAGAGAAGGCACCAGGCAGCTGATTTGAAATGACAGTCCGGGCAGACACATGCACTACTTGCTCTGGGTGTTTGAAACTGGTGCTTGCTCCTTGCTCAATGTGAATGACAAAACGGGAGGAAAGGAATGTAGGAAAATATAACATGGTCGGATGGTTTGGCTCAGAAGCATCAGTGCTCACTTGCTGGGAGAAGTTTCGCCACTAGAGGTCATCGGTGGACAGTTCTCCAGGGCTGCAGGGTGGCAGTTGTCTCCTCTGCACACACACTGGAAAAAATTGTTCTCTTTCTACTCTGCAGTCCCTGACAATCCAGTGTCCATTCCATGGCACATACCTACGAAAGCACTGTTCTGGAAGGGCTTTGATCCACCAGCACAAACTAAGCCAGTTTGAAAAGCCAGTATACCCTGTACAGCCCCCACATGGCTTTGCTCATGCCACCAAGGTGGAGGCTGGGATGGTTTCCTTTGGAGGTTCAGGCAGAGAAGGTTCTAGAAGTCTTCTGGGCTATGGATATGCCCCCAAACCACCCAGTGAACTCTAGTGAACCTCCCTGTGGTTTCTTTCTCCCCCTTGGAAAAGCCCCATAAACAAGAGATGACAAACCCTAAGTAATATTTCGAGTCCCTTGGGTTTGGAGAATTAAGTAAAGTTTGAACTTTCAGGGCTTGAGTGTTTTGAGCAATTTATTATGAATATACATATATTTTTTTTACCCTGGGAACAACTTTCAAAGCCTCTAACTGTACTTATAAGAAAAAAGGACTTTTCAAGACTTTTGAAAAACGCTCATTCGTCTTGTTGGGCTCTAAACAACGCTCCGAAAACAATGGATTTGACAAACTTAAGTGTAAATTCTTGGAAACCCATGGCGTACATATTCCTTAAAATTTAGTGGACATTTTTAAAGCACGAGAAGGCCATCCAAGGGCAAGGCTGCCCAGCTTGGAAAGGCTGAAACGACTGAGTATTATCTGATGAAGCCTGAAACACCAGCCCCTGTTCATCCCTCCAGGCCAGAGGGTGGCTCCCAGCCTGCCAAGTGGATCTCACTAAATACACGACTTGAAGACTTAGGCACCTGCTCCAATCCCTGAGACATACTCAAAAATAGAAATCTTAGTGAAACAGTTTGGGGCACAGACACCCCAGCAGATGACTCACTTCTATTGAGGGTCCTGGTGCAGTAAAGCTCCTTTCTTTGGGGACATTCCAGTCACTCCCCAGGATTCCTTTCCAAGGCCCCCCTCTCCCTTTCCCAGACTGCATATTGTAAACTGCCTGCTCCAGCTTATCATTTAGGGTCACCTGATTTAAACCAACTGTTCAAGGCTCAAAATGGGGTTAAAATCATGCCTGATGCTAACGAGCACTGTCTATGCTCTAGGTCCTGTGCTATGGATTTAGATACTTTACATTCCACCCACCTTCACAACAGCCCCACGCGTAGCCTAGGTGACTATCATCCATCCCCTTTCTACAGATGAAGACACTGAAGTACAGAGAGGTCTAGAAAACTGTCAGTTCCGTGCTGTCAGGAGAAAGAAACTTGGTCAACACGAGGGCATCTGATACATCACCCGACTTGCAGCAGTCTGCAGCGGATGGTGCACTGGGCCCCTTCTACGGCGAGGCCGTGGCCACAACAGGGCTGGCCTACCCTAGCTGAGCACCACACACGCCTCTGTGGGCACGGGCCCAGGGACGGGAGAGACAGGGCTCACAGCTGTCGCCTCGGCCTCAGCCCTCCTTGTAACCCCAGGATCTAGAGCCTGGGAAGATTTCTTTGTACTGCAGATCTGGTGATCTCACCGAGGCTTGGTGATGACATTCAGCCCACTGGCTAAGGAAAGTCTGTATCCTTTCAGTTAGACTTCTCTGTTCTTTTGGGCACTGCATCAAAGTGCTTGGTGCATGCTATAAATCACACCTTTTGGGCGAGGTCAGATGCCATCCAAACAGCTCTGCCCAACCAAGGCTCCATGTATTTTGCAAAAGAAGTGCCTGGATGGGGTGCTGCGTGAGAGCAGATAGGACTAGATGCTATGATTGCTTATTGTTCCTGGCATGCTGATCCTGGCACAAAGAAACTCTTCTAAATACAGGTTTCGTTCAGAGATGGGGTACGAGTTTTAAAGATAGGAGACGCTTGGAGGCTTCCAAAGTGAGGAAGCCAAGGAACTCACAAGCAAGGTGTGGAGTGCTGACTGGCTATAGACCTGGCCTTTAATTCCAACTCCTGCATTTGTAAACCGCAGGCACACCCAAGGAGCTAGTGAAGAGTGAAGCCAAGATAAGTGTTCTCAGGCAAGGGTGGGGTGGAGCTGGCTCTTTCCTAATTGGATTCCAAATATTGGAACCACTGGCCACCATTTGCCACCATCATAAAAGTTGGCTGTGGACCCTCTTGAGTGTTCCAGCCACATGGGGTGTAGGGGAAGTTAGAAGAGCCCTTTATCAAGATCCTGCTTGCAGAGGTAGAATGGACTCGGAGAGACAAAAATCCCAATTTATCCCTAAGTTAGAGTCTGCCGGCTATAAAAAGGGTTAGTGGCCAGTGGGAGGAGTGGGGAGTGGTGGGGAAAACCAAAATATGTGGTCAAAGGTAACAGCGAGGATTGCTTCCTTAGAACTGAGCTGTGAGTTGGAAAATCATAATTGAAATGCCAGAATAACACCACTATGCGTATGTTTGATTCCAGGGCACAGGGTTTCAAGGCATCAGAAAGTGTGTGTGGCCAATACCCAGATTCTAGGAGGTCTTAGGAAATCTCAAAGGGAATTGTCTCTTTTTGGTTCACAAAACACTAAAATGAATATAGTCTCCATTCTATCCTTCCTCAATTGCTGCTGTTGTCTACACAGTTCTATTCACTTCTGTTCTCTTCTATTCAGACTTTGGACTCGGATTCTAGAAATAGACCTAGCTTGCCAGGCAGGAATTCTCAAGACCTACTTCATTCCTGCAAGCCCAGCTTCCGTGGACAAGCAGGACCCAGCCAAAGATTTTTGTAAAGACAGTCACATACATGACTTGCACAAATTCTAAATATTCCTGCTTAATAAATTCTCAAAGAGCGAGTATGTCTATGCCACAACCAAGGAAAAAAAAGGGCACTAACAGCTCCCTAGAATTCCCTTGATGTCTCCTCCCAGTCTCTACTTGACCCTTCCAGTAGGAAAGATTGTTTTGGTTTCTGCCACTATACATGAGTTTTGCTTACTTTTGGACTTTAGAGAAATTGAATCATATGGTACATTTTTGGATGTGTATATCAGTGGTTTTCTTGGGAGCCCACTAGGTTGGGACACTCTGCCCCTTGGGTCGCCTTATCTGCTGTCCCCTCTGACCCAAAGGAAAAATGCAGGGAGAGAACCCACATGCACCCTTTGATTTCCAGGAGGCTAGCTTGCCTGCCCAGTACAGAAAGCCAACGTTTAGTCTGGAAAAAGATAGATTAGACAGGTGATATAATTTGCTCAGGGTGAGAAGAGCAGCAGGAGGATTAGGCATTCATACCACGCTCAAGATTTAGGCCACTAAAAAGTTCTGCCCAAAGCAATAGTCAATGACTGTTGTAGAGTGAATAAATGAATCAATGAGTCCTTAAAGGTAAGACACAGGCCAAGACTAACAAGGATAAATCCCAGTATACAGGTGAATGGTCCTCTGTTGACTTAAGAAATACTAGACTTAGAACAAGCTTAGTGAGAGTCCCTCTCACAGACCTTGTAAGTTTGAGAAGTGCTGCTCAGAGAACCCTGGCTTGAGGGTGGTGAGATAAAATCCTTCCTGTGCTGTCTGCAAACATGCACCCACAACAGTCAACTCCTTATCTTCTCATAGACCAGCCAACACAGTTACACATTTTTCTGTGAACTTCCATAGCAGGACCTTGGCTCATGTGATCATCCTAAGTTATGACCACTTTTTATCACTGCAAGTATCCAGTTCATATTTTGCAGGTACTCAAACAGGTTTCCAACTTATTTTCCTATTTTGAGCTATCCTTTGGAAGGAAACATCTTGAACTTTCCACAAGAGAATTCTGTCAACATAAAATGTTACCACAGAAGTACCTGGCAGTTGCGTTGGAACATGGTTGTGTGAAAGCTGTTACTAAGTAGAACAACAACATGTAAAATGCACACCTCTGATTCCAGAGACCTCCTCTCCCTCTTCTCCCAGAGCCCAGAGTTTCTAATGAGGGAAGAATTTCTTGAAGACTGTGCTCTGATTAACATGCACTAAAGGGAAGTCATGTGCTATGCATGATGACAGCTGTAGCTTCTAACAGGTAGACAGTTAGCAAGAGAGAACATCTGCCCAATGGGTGCCGCATAGGAGAAAGATCCAACTCTTCACCTAATCAGGGTAAGTCACTGTGATACACACACCTCTGCACTGCAGTCACTTAAAACAAAGCCCCAAAGGCTTCCTCGTGGCGAGAGGCATTGCACCCAAATCCCGTTATACCAAGTCCACACATCACCACATTCTCCCAGGAGCATCTTTGATGTGAGGGAGGTTTGTTTTTGCTCAGCCTGCTTGGCTTGAAGGCAAGAATAAGAATTGGGCGAGTTTCAATTCTCCCCAGCCAGTGCACACTTTGGACACATGGTGGAAAATACCCGTTGGCCTGATTTTCAGAGGAACTAGTTCCTTAAAAGATCATCAATCAATTAATAACAATCAAAAACACCCATAAATTGTACACAGTGTTTTGCAGTTTACAAATCTGCTCCATGGACATCAGTGGCTTTGAATCCAGGGTTTACTTTAGAACATGCATACAGGGGAACATCTTTAAAGTACCAACCCTTTTGCCTTGTCTCTGGAGACTCAGAAGAATTGGTTCAGGGAAGGGTCAACTGGTACCTGGGCATTGAAAGAAAGACCCCTGGGCCCTTTCCAGAAGATTCCAGTGTAAACGCAGGGTTTGAAACTGTTGACTGGTATTATGTCACCTAACAGATGGAATGCTCTGCCAGAAG